AGTGGGGGGGGATCCTCACTTTCGGTGCTTCTCCTCTTTGTCGCCGCTTTTGGTGCTGTTGTCTGTGTGGCTGTTGGGATTGTTGCTGAGGTACATTTTGTCCATGGCCTTGAGCGCCTCGGTGAGATAGTTCTGCAGGGCAGTGACGGCAGCACACACCGCCGGGCTCCCGAAGCCGTGTGAGATGAGGTTGAAGTGGGTCAGGCAGCTCTGGATGCCCGGCTCCAAAATGGGGTTGGGCCGCGAGTTCCCCAGGGGAGATCGGTCCTGAGCCAGCAGGTCGGTGAACTCTTTACAGATCTGTCTGTAGCACAAATGGAGCAGAGAGGCAGAGGGAGGGAGGGCAAGAGAGAGGGAAAGAAATGAACCATCACTGGCGGCAGCAAAGCCTCTGCATTCTCCCTGCTAGATTACACAAGCCCCTGGATCAAGGGGGCTGCTGCCCCCGAGTGCACACACGCTCTCTTACCTCTCCCTCTCTTCTCTACTCATCCTTTCCCCTAATTCTCACACTTCCCTGGCATGCACAAACCTTTTCCCTTCACCTCGCATGCACACACACGACTGTGCACACACATCATGCCCTGGCCCTGGCCAGCACACAGGCAAGTTAACAGGCACAGAGATACACACACCTCCTGCATCGCAGCCCCCTGCATCCTCCCCACAAACACATGTCCCTGATCAGCTGGGTTTTGGAGCAGCACAAGGTTTAAAGTTCCTCAGCAGGGCAGACGGGAGTAGATGGGGTGCAATATTCAAAGGGATTTATCTGTGTCTTGGAAGATACTTTTCTGGGGGGGAACTGAAGAGAGGCACGGGCGCCTCTTCCTTCACAAGGCTAAAACATGCCTGTGTGTCAGGAAGTAAGAGCGAGGGCAAAGAAGGGAATTGAGGCTTTAAATTAGGGTATTCTGAGACATCTATGTATGTACATCTCCATCTTCAAATCCAAAGGGACCTTCCCACGCAGGGGAAGGCTGACGCCAACTGGGGTCTGGAAATTTCCTTCCAGGGAGGTGGGAAGAGAGGATACAAGGGCACAGTGCAGAAGTTAGGTTAAACCATCCCCTCACTGCACAGACGGTTGGGGAAATAACACACCTTACAGCAAAAGAGCTCAGAGGCGTGTTGAAACAGTTTGTATTCTAAAAACTCACATTAATGCCTTCCAGCCGTAAAGTGGCTCCCATCTTCTGCCTGCTTCCTCTGGCACTGTGCCCTTTGGTGACACCTCCATTGGTAATTAAGGGCTACTAAACAACCCTTTTCATTTCCAGCAAACGTATCAAACCTATCTTTTCCTGCCCATGCGCCACCTGGAAGCCTAGGCAACCCCAGCAATGGCAAAGTCCGCTAGCACTTTAACTGCATGCAGATTGTGGAGTTTAAAATACATTTTTAATATCCCAGTATTCAGTGAGTAACAGAACCGCTTAGGCAGAAAGAACCATTGCCGATTTTAATGAACTCAAATCAGTTTAATGTGCCGATTCTATTTTACTGTCAATGGGAAGGAAGCTTTCCCCTTCTACCTAAATTAAGAAGCTAAGTGAAAAGGCCTGGAAAATGTTTTGCTCTGAAGAATTACCGCTTTTTCTTTAACTAAACATCCACCCACAATTTTCACGGCTCGCTTTCAAGGTAATCTGCGCAAACTTGATGGAAACCAAGCTGGGTGATAGAGTTCTCCCATAGCAGGAGGGCAAACACACCCCCTCCTCACCATTTGCAAACCCATCAGCCACTGGCTATGTGGCAAATGCTCACAAATAAAAGCCCCAAACCCGGGTTTGTTGCCTGCCCCTCACTCCTGTGCAGCACACCAGAAAGGTAAATGTCTTACTTTGTAGCTAGAAGCATGTTTTTTCTTGTGACTTGCTCGTTTGGATCGGAATGTTGTCGGTTGAGAAATTCAGCTACTGCTTTGGCAGGAAATTCTGTCTCACAAACGTACCCAAAGTCTCTAGCTAGATGTACTGCTTCTCCTGAAAAGGGAGGCACGAGTGGGGATGGGAAGAAAACACACGGCTCATCAGTACATATCGCACAGAGAAAAACATCCATTAGAAAGAGAAGTGGGCTACATTCTACTTGGGCTTTTCTTCTAAAAGGCTTGGACCTTTTTTCCTTTGAAAAAGGTAGGGTAAGAAATGCTAATTACGTCTTATCTTGCAGGAGTTTTCTTTGCTTCAGTCAGAGCAATGCAAATGTGTATTTTCATGACAATCCTTACAAGTAAAAAAATTCTTATGCAAGATTTCAAAGTTTACATTGACTAGCAGATACTTTTAGACAGACAGGCTCCATCCACCTCGAATATGCGCTTAGATTTACATATCCATGCCTCTACACAGCCATTTACCTACATTTCATTCACTGCTATTCACTCTGGAAATGTTTGCGTGCCTCAGCCACCTCTCTTATACTCTTTTGCAATGCATCAATGATTAATATTGATCATAATTACTCCTAGAGCTCTTCTAAATAAAATGCATTAAACAGCTAAGTGTTTAAAATTTAACTTGATCGCATATAATTATATGTTCACCCCCAAACGATTAACCATGAGAATTTTAGGGTCATTCCACTGAGTCTGTCTGTTTTGTTGATTTTCAAATCTTTGGTTTTAATTTCCTGAACCAGTTGGTTTTTACTGCAGGGCTTCCTGCCATTAGCTCTAGCTCCGGAAGAACGCATGCGCCAATTAGAGCTTCAAAGCCTCAGTCCAGTGAGCTTGTTTCCATAAAATGGAGCGGATCATAAACAATAACAGTACTCTAGAAACTGCCTCATCGCTACAGGACTCAAAGCCACAGCAATGTTTATACTGTCATCCCCCCAAAAATTAGCCACCATTGCACAGTTATCTGGAGATGGGCCTCTGGTTTTGTTTTGGTTTACAAAAAAAAAAAAAAAAAAAATCATTCTTTTAAAGCCATTGTATATGAAAGCCAAACAGAACAATAGATTACCATAAAACCTGCTCCATATTCATTAACATCACAAATAAAGTCAAGCAGCTACCAAATCTAGACTTTTTACAAGTTTTCCCCTCGTGATTTTCACTACAGCGCATGGATGCAATGGCAAAGCCTTTTCAGAAACACGAAGGCACAGTAATTTTCACTCAGCATAAATATAGTGGGACCACTAATCCTGGTGTTTAAATAAATCGAAGCCTGGCGTCGCACAGCGCTTCTTTCCCCATCCCTTTGAACATGAAACATCTCTCGCAGAATGCAAAGGGACGACAAAACAAAGCAACAAATTCCCTCCTACACAACCAAACTTCAGCAAACCTGCGCAGCCCAGGCTGAGGTTAAAAGCGCTTTGCAGACTGAACTGGTCCCAAAATGCAGTCAGACCCGTAAGTGACGGGAAAGGAGGAGGATCTATTTTCTGGCTTTGGGCTTACTTTGTGCCGGGCTGTGTGATACAGAAACTGCTTCAGAACTAGATGACTGCAAACTCTAGATTCCCACCTCCTGTTTCCAACAGCACAGGGTATTCCAAAGCATTAGACATTAAGTTGCACCTTTTCTGGCCATGGCAAAGCAGAAGAGAATGATATAGCCAAGGGAACATGTGTTCTGAAAATGAGAACCAAAAGGGAGTGGGGGCTGGTGGTGGTGGTGCAACTTTGAGGCTTTCAGGACACCATTAATTCATGGCTGAGGTCAAGGATTCCCAAATTAATTCAGGAAGTAATGGTCACGCATTTCTCAAATGCAGATGTCAGAAAACTTAAATGATTTACTTTTATGTGGCTGCAGGCTGGGAGGAGAACAAACCTAAAGTAGCTGCAGTTTCTGACATTTAAAATTGCTTGGTTGTCCACCTGTGGCAGAATGAGAGCAGCGAAGCTTTAGAGGCTCTGCTACCCATAACTTCCAACTCAACACTCCGGGGTCTTTTACAAGGTTGAGGCCACAACCCCCATGAGCAGGGATCCTTCCCATGCTGCTCCCAGTGAGATCTGCCTACTCTAGGAAGGGATTACTCACTTGAACAAGGGAGCAAAATAGGGCCCTGAAAACATCTAGCTCAGAGACTTAAAAGCAAATAAATGGTAGAATGCAACACTACGAGTCTGCAGGACTCACACAGTCCCGCTTCAGGTCAAAACAAAAAGAAAGGCACGCAATTAACATTTTTTTCCGAGGCATAGAAAATAACACCCTTACAATTTCCAACAAGCAGCACTGACTCTGGGGGGAAAAACCCAAAAACAACAAACCCAACAAACAACAAAACACAACCCAACACCAAGTCTTCTCCCATTAAGCAAAAGCAACAGGCATATTTTCCAAAGGAGCCCTCCCAGTCACTTACCCTCCACGAGTGACGTGAGCAAGGTAACGTTAGCAGCTTTACGCCTCCCGGCTGGCAGGTTTAATCCTATTTTGTCCAGTTTCTCCCGCAGAGATCTTCCTCCGTTTTTAGACTTTGCCCTGTTCCGCACAGAAAGGCATTAAGAAAGCGGGCTGGTGGGGGGCACCCACTCCCACTCTGTGTCCCAGTCACGGATCGCCCCAACATCACCTTCCCACAGAGAGGAGTGAAGTGGTGGGAGAGCATGGTTATGGGGAGCTGAAAAGCGAATGCTGCTGAAAGCACTCTCGGACATAGGGATGGGCCTTTGGGTGGCTCCATGTCTAGGGAAAAGGAGCCCTCCCTCACTAAGGTCTGGATCAGCCCCCAGGCCATTGGGAAGCCCTGACTGGAGGCAGCTATCAGAGCTTCAAGGTAACATAGACCCAGGATAGCTTCTTCCCGCAGACCCAGGCAGCAGCCTTCACGGGAGGTGTCAGATTTATACGCCAGCAGCCCCTGAGCATCACTGCCCTCTCACTTATCCCTCCATGGCCCATCTGTGGCTTTTTGGCCAAGCCGAACCAACCCAGGCTGTGGAGGTGGGAGCTGGCTTAATTAATCCTGGATGCTATTCCCTGCCCAGGAACTGCGTAATTGCCTGGGTGAGGCCACAGGCCCAGGACAGCAGAGTGGGTGCCAGTGGTGGGGCACACACTGGCAACCTCCCCCTCTTACAAGGGTAACGGGGTGATGTGGGGGTTCATCACCGTGCTGGGACAGTGTGCCCGGGACACGCACATGGGTG